CACCTAATGAGATCCTTCATAGACCTGGATCATATTATCTTTTCATTGGATGGGGGGCGATTCTGAAAGATCACATTGATTGCTTATCTCGAGATGTCCTGAAGGGATGCTATAGGCTTTCTTCTTGAATCACTGTGATTCTTATGGTGATGGTGTTCCCATTATAGTGTTAGGCATGATGTTCCAGGATACTGAAACTGTGAACGAACAAGGCAATGTGTTCAGGTTAGTGTGACCTGGAGGGGGATTTGGCAATGACAATGTTTCCCCTGATTTAGTCATCATGCTGATATAAAACACAAGGCAAGAAGGTGATCTTGAAATATTTTGATCTCACCAGCTAATCTCACCCCTTGTGAAGATGTCTATAATTGTATGCACCTTCAAGGTAAGCATCTAGATCATTAATCCAAATTAGGAAACCAAAAGTTTCCAAAAGTCATAGACGTGACCACTTGGCTCCCTTGTGTTAAGGTACCTAAAACAGTGATAGAAGAGTTAACCAAGTTCTTCATTCATTGTGGGTCACCCACTGAGATCCAGTCAGATCAAGATTTCACACTGTATGGTACCCTTGCACACCATTTCTATCCAAACAGTCATCCAATACACTCTTGAATGTCCCTGAGAGACTGGCAAGTTCCTTCAACACCCACTGGTAAATAAACATTGGCCTTTAGCAAATGAGACAGCTTTTTCCAATGCCAAGTGATGCCATTTGAGCTAAAAAGACTCCAGCAATTTTTCAGAGATTGCGGAATCAAGTGGTAGCCCTGTTCCTAATTGTATAGTTTACCTTGAAGATGTGTTGTATATGGTGACACTTGGAAGGGCCATTTGAAACAACTACAGCTTGGGAAATTACAATTGATTGATTTGGGGATAAACATTTCCAGATGTGTGTTTGCAAAGATACAAATAATCCACCACGGGTACATGGTAGGAGAAGGACAGGTGCTGCAAAAATACAAACATTAGCGAAATTTCCCACTCCTCAAACTTTTTGTATATTCATTTCTGGGATGTGGGTGTCACTGACTGGGCCAGCATTTATTGCCTGTCCCTTGTTGCCCTTTAGAAGATGGTGATGGATTGACTTCTTGAATTATTACAATCCATGTG